GTTTGTCTAGAGTTAATAACACCTCAAAATACAAACGTTAAAATTAGAAGGGGTTGTGATTGGTGTATATATAAAAAAGATGATTATTTTTTGTTTAAAAAATTATTTTAATAGGTAAACCAAGTCTTAAGCAAGGGCAAATTTGAAATTTTTACAAAAGTACAATGGCTTTTTAGAAGTTAGTGTCTTGGAATTTTATTTATAGAGTACCCTAGTCTTCTAGTAAAAATCTCAAATTTACCTTTTGTAGAGATGACAAAAATACCCCTTGTCATATAGTAATATTTACAAAATTGCCCTTACTTAATGATAAAAATATCATAAAATTTTTTTTTTTCTAAAAAATAGACTACAAAATTAGTAAATCCACCCTCACAACTCTCTCTATCTTTAACCTTTGTAATTTGAAGGAGGTTTAGATTATATATGTAGAGTAATGATCGTATGAGACCCTCCCACACCCATGTGTGTAGGACCCCAAAGGATCACCACTAAATTTGACACAAATCTCTAGAAAAGTCATCACATTGGCATGAGACTTGACTTTTCTAGAGATCTGTGCTAAATTTAATAGTGATCCTTTGGGGTCCTACACACATGGGTGTGGGAGGGTCTCACAAGGTCAAGGGGTACTTTTGTCATGTGTGTAATACCCCAAAGGATCACCATTAAATTTAGCATACATCTCTAGAAAAGTTATTATATGGATGTGAGACTTGACCCATGTTTGTAAAACCTTAAAGGATCACCATTAAATTTGGCACAGATCTTTAAAAAAGTTATTAGATAGGTGTGGGACTTGACTTTTCCAGAGATTTGTACCAAATTTAATGGTGATCCTTTAGGGTTCTACACATATGGGTGTGGGAGAGTCTTATAGGATCATTACTCGTGTGTATATATATATATATATATATATATGTATGTGTGTGTGTGCGCGCGCGCGTAATTTTGGCATTTCTTAATATATAAACTCTTTGCTATATTGTATATATCCAAAGCACACCCGAAGCACACAATGGAGGTTTACATTACCAAATAGAAAGGGAGTCTATGGCAATCTTTGCATCTGCTAAGTTTCCTGTGAACACCAACAGTATAGAGGTGTACGAAAACTCCAAGCTGTTAACACATTACCAGAAGTCTCAGAAACAAGTAGGTCACACACATTATAAACCTATTTCACTTACATCTACTCCAAAAACTACAGAAAAACAACAAAGAAAGGTATCAAGCCCTTGTTTTCCCAGAAGCACACTGATATTCAGTGTCACAATTCACTCAAAATTTCAAAAAAAAAAAGAAAGAAAACTGAAAGCTAAAAAATTCTCAGCCACGTACCATATCATGACTCCAGAGGACAAAGAAAGCTTGAGGACAGGCCACAAATCATGGAATGCAGCCATGCTGAACCCAGTCCAAGTGAGAGGACAACCCCCGCCAAAGATGTAGATCAGCTGACCAACCACTGGAATCCAATACGCCACGATATTTGAAGCTAAGACACCCGAAACTCCGAACCCAAGCATAAGCCAATGTGCACAACTATGGATGCGGCCGCAAACCACACAATGACCTTGTTGTTAGACTGTGCCTGTAGATACATTTGGCAAGTGAAGGAGAATATGAATGAGAAGTGGATGGGTAAGGACCACAAGGCTACGATCCCGGCCACCACTGCAAGCTCAGCTGGTTGCCCAATTGCCTCAAATATGCACGTGGCAAAGACATAACAGGGGACAAAGAGGAGAGACACTGCTGTGACGATTACCCATGATCTCTGTAGGTAGATGCCGAGCATGTGGTATTGCTTTGCACCATAGGATTGCCCACATAAGGTCTCTAGCCCACTTCCCATGCCCAGCTGAAACACATTCATAGTTCAAACAGTTGTGTTTTCATTTGATTTTCCTTCTAATCTTTTCTCTTCCATTAGTAATTAATCTTTAGGCAGCGAAATGAGAAATCAAATCCACAACCTATTACTAATAAAGGTGAATTAGTTCCTAAGACAACCTCTTTGAAGCTCTAGGCATTATGAAGGAACATACATTTGGGCATTTACTTACTATATATGTTCACTTACTGTGCGCGTCTTGGCGATGAATACGCCATCCTTGGTCTCATGACTTCAGGAATATCAAAATCCACCTTCAAAAGATTTTCCCGCACTTTTTTTCATTCTTCTTTCAAAATTTTTAGTTTTGAAAGTGCTTACTACTCAGGCAAGTCAACTTGAACTCGCTCGAGTGGACTTGCCCTGGGCCAATGGCAAGTATCTGGCCGAAGGGGTGTCCCAACACATTGCTTTGAAGTTTGAACAGAGTTAAAAGGATGAGAAGGGATTGTATGATGTGATATTATCTAAAAGGACTTCCATGTGACAAACTTTCACACTCGAAACCATGTGTTGTGCTGATATGCAAAGCTCACTTCTATAAGAAAATCCCATGTTAGTGCGGATCACATTCATAATTTTCCTGAGTAGAGTACCCATTTGGATTTCTAATGCATGTAAAGAACCACCAAAAAATGGATGCATATCCTAGCAAGGCTTCTACGTAGTGACAAAACTTCTTAGATAAAGAACCACTACGTGGGACTTGGTTTCTTCAATAGAAGTGGATCTAATGGAGATTTTGGCCATATCCCCTTTTATTGAGAGAAAACAATCTCGGTTTATCTAAAGTGTTTTCTTCTTAGAAAGTAGTTTAGTTGTGAACATAGATGGGGGATTGGTAGATGATGTAAGTTGAAAGAGCTGTTCTAGAAAGGTTTCTCAACTGGGTTGTGTTGAGGGCTAGAGAGGTAACACTGTCTCAAATTTGTAATGTAAATTCTATTGTCATAGTGGATTTCAATTTATTGTGCTTGTGAGTATAGGCCCTTTATACTGAACCGCGTTTAACTTTGTGTTCTTGCGGTATGTATTTTTTTGTGCTTTATGTTTTTATGCTCATGTTGTGGTTTATGCTCACCCTTTATTATTATTATTATTATTTTATTTTATTTTATTTTATTTTATTTTTTTTAAGCCAGTTGAGCACATGTTCATAGGCTCCATATTAGGGTTTCCTGTTATAAAATAATTATTTGAATCTAACGGCGGGTATCAAAGTACATGGTTTAGTACAAGGTTAAGGCTTTGTTCGCAGTGGACAAATATGATAATAAGCACAATCTATTTAGCAAGTATGACAAATGGATTTACTTGGCAAAAGAAAAGGGCAAAAAAAATCATATAGTTGTTTAATGGGAGGTGAAATGGCGATCATATGACATCTGATATCAAGGTGGAGATTTTCATAAAGTGATATCTAAAACTGAGCACAACTAGGAAATTGTTATGGGAAATGATATTGATTTTGATATTTCTAAGGTATTTAGGAAACGTATAGAAGTTCCCTATTTGCTATGGATTCTTAATGAGTGGAAAAGAATAGGTGTGCCTAATTGGGTCATTATAGGGATAAGGTAGCTTCTTATAAAGAAAAAGGCAGCCTCCTGCATAAAGGGACAAGGCTTTCACAAATACAAAAGTGAGCTTCCTAGAAATGTTTGACATATATTTATCATCTACAGTAATTTTGACATATTTTTATCTAAATTATCAATAAATGCAAAACATAATGCTTTCATCTTTTCTATATTCATATATATTGCTTTAAAGCTCCATTCATCATTTGAAAAGTAGAAAGAATCTTTCTAATTTTTGAAACTGGGTTTTACAAATATTTTAAAAAGATAAAAATATTTTTCCTAAAATACACCAACTATTATAGTCAGAAGTCATTTTTAAATTAATAAGGGTATTTTATGGTTAAATATTTTGTAGTATTAAATTCTAAAATCATCATTAGTACCGTGCATCATATTTTGGAATAGTAAATTCTAAAATCACTATTAGTATGGTGTATCATATATGTGTGTATTTTGCACGCGCCCGGATACCTTAATTACAGAAGCAAGGCTATAGCATTCCACAATCCTTTAATTCCTTGGTATACAGACCCCCAGAAAAATTTCTAAAAATGATTTTTCTTTCCTATTTTCGTTTTTGAAATTATTCATAGGCCAAGCACTAACCCCCACAATTCGCCATTAAAAGATTTCAACTGGTATCTCAACTGCCCGTAATATTGAATAACAATTCTCAAAATAAAGTAGAGTTTTCTAAGGAAAAGCTTTCTTATATACCACTAGGTGGGAACTTATATACGCTAGGTCGGAACTTATGTATGCCACTCCCTCTCAGCTATCCGATCTGAATAAATCGCTTTGATAACTTTAGCCATAACATCATAATTGAGCTTTTTATGTTTTAATCTAGACCAAACATCTCAGAGTATTTTATGTTTAACTTTATTTTTTTCTACAAATCATATGAACATGAAATTTGGTGATTCATCATAACCAATATTTTGGTTATTTTATTTTATAAAAATAATATTAAAAATATTTTTAAAAATAAAATGACCAAAAATTGATGTCAATGTCATTTGTAGAAAAAATTAAAAATAAAATCGTGTTTAGGCGTGGCATTACGATTGTGACTATTTCACATGGCATTATGATTGGGACAATGGCATTCAAAAAGTTTTCCGTTTCTTAAATGGGTGTGGTTTCTAAAAGGTTGCAACTTTAAACAATCCAATTTAGGCGTAACTCCAAATTTTATCATAACATGTAATTTTGGTGTTAAATTCTTAGGATTATCTAAAAAAATGTTTTCATATCTAATTATAAAATTGTAAACTCTAAAAATGGTTAAAATCAAAGTAGATCGATAAATATATGAAAATCTTGAAAAAGGACAATCTAGATAATGTGTTGCAAGATGCACTATTTCTAGGGTTCAAAATCTTTTTTTTTTTTTCATATTCATACATCTCGATGTCGAGATGAGCAATCAGAAGGGTTTCTCAACATTAAAACAACCTTTTCTGATGATTTTTTAGGTGCATATGTGATTCTGCAACCTCATATAAACTTTTTCCTTCTTAAACTAATTAATTAGTGGAAGACCTGAGGTTGACTGTGGTTTTAAGTGTGTGCTGAAGAGAACGAGTGGCCAACGTGCTTGGTTAAAACATACGTGTCTATGTCTATTAACAAAGAAAAAAAGTGTCTGAAAATATTTGTGTTAAAATGAAAGTAATTTATGAGTCGTGGGATGCATTTATACATCTGCGTCCCCCAAGGATCAAACATCCATTTTTACTTCGGATGTAAATTTGTTTTCCCTCTTAAAAGAATAAAATCTAACGATTCAAAAATGTCTCCAAAAAATTATCTTTATAGCTTTTAAGGTTTTTTTTCTTATTTTTTATTTTTATATATTAATGATCTTCATCTTAGAGACTATATCTAAAAAAATAAAATCCCATCTAAAAAAATAGATAATAAAAGGGGCCTCATATTTACATGTGAGTCCTAGGACTCATGGAAACCTTGTCCATTCTAAAATTGCTATTTCGGATTTTGAATGACATTAAATAACTTTCATAGCAAGTTCTCATAAAGAAAGTTAAAGAAAAGCATTTAAATTATAAAATTCGAAAAAAAAAAAAAAAAAAAACGTAGTTAGACTTTTTTTGAATGTCACACATGATATCCATGTATTACTGCGCTACAAAAAAACATTTATCAAAGTTTATCATAGTACTTATTTGGGATTGTCTACAAAGAGACCATTTATCTTTTATACATGGAAGTCACAATTATTCTTGTCTCTTAAATTTCAAAACGAGTCGTTGCAAGAGTATCATTGAATAAATACAAAGTTCAAAAAAAAAAAAAAAAAAATCTCTAACTTTGGTGACTCACCCCAAGCCATCCAATTTGACACCTAATGAGTGGGAATGATTGATCTCCATGCACAAAAGACAAATAGTTTATTATAGACAATCCTTACTTATTATATGAGTTTGCACTTGTGATTGAGCACCAAATAATATCATTTCGGGAAAAAATAGGATGAGAGAGACAGAGAGAGAACCGTGATGGCGTTGCAGAAGCGGACAAGGACAGTGAAGGTGAGTGAGTAGGCGGCGAGATAGGCGGAGCCTCCAATGTGGCCGATGTAAGCCTCAGTTAACATTGAAACACAGCCTCCATAACTTCTTAGACTCATCCAAAAACGTCTCTCCAACTCCCTTCTCTCTCTCCTCCTCTTCCTCTCTCTTCACCAGAAGAGGGCTTTCACACCACCTCTCCATTGTTGATGGATAAACAATCGATGTAAATTGATGGATTCAATACTCTTTCTCTCTCCTGCATTCTTCTCTCAGTCGTTTCGGCATATACATACTTGTTTTTGTACTTAATGCACTAAAGCGTTACTTCATGCACTAAAGCGGCGCCTTCTCGAGAAAGTGTGTTTTTTTCTTTTTTCTTTTTTATGGTTACAGTTTCTATAAGGCCCATGCCTTACGAAGGCAAAGTAGAGCCTCACCTTGAATCCTTGTTTGAAAAGCCCTTTGGGTATCAGAAAACTCGATTATGGTACTAGTAAAATTTGAAGCTAAAAAATTGCTTATGATCTTATGGATATATGAACTTTTATTTTTATGGAAAAATAAACACTTTAGATAATGTGTTGCGTAGAGATAATCGATTCAAATAAGTGTCGTTAAAGATGACTTTCATCTATTGCTTTAATTGTTGTGCTACTTTCTCCTCTTTAACTTTAAATATATATGTATTTTTTGTTTTTGTCGAATAATCAGGAGGAGATGGGGATTTCATTTCTGATATTTGCCCTATAACAACACTCCTATTTTTAAAAGAAAAAATATAGAATGAGTCTATTTACCTTTAGTATAAGGTGGTCACAATTAATCTTAAATGTGAAATTGGGGCTGCATTTATTCACTTGAACAAGCTCAAACTTCAAGAAAAAAATTTCAAACTTTGTGAGACACCCAAACTATCAAATTTCATATCGGATGGTGGTTAATAATTTGTGACCTCCTTATATCAACGGTAAATGGTCTCATCGAATACAATCTCCATTTTTTACAACTTAAA